CTGGGAGGGGAGGGGAGGCACCCCGGACCTTGCGCGTGCCTGGGATGCTCAGGGATTGAGATTCGCAAGGCCAACCCTGCGCAGAGTAATCGCGTAGTCCCATGACCCCTCAACCTCCCCACACACGAATCTTCATCCCCCTTTCACAGGCATGCTGAAGCTGGCCAGCCTGGTGCAGTACGTGCCGCTGCCGGTGATCGGGGGGTACCTGGCCTTCGTGGGCTACTTCTGCCTGGCGGCGGGGGTGTCGCTGGCCTCCGGCGTGCACATCGACGAAGACCCAATGACCTGGGCGGGGTTGGCCAGCGCCGACGCGCTCCTGCGCCTGGTCCCCGCCCTCCTCCTCCTGCTGCTCATCACGGCGGTGCAGCGCAGATTTAGCCACCCGCTGGCCCTGCCCCTGTTGCTGGCGGCCGCGCCTGTGGTGTTTTACGTCGTGCTCGCCGCCGGCGGCTGGACGCTGGCAGAAGCACAGCAGGACGGCTGGGTTACAAAGCCGACCGTGAGCAGGACCATTGCTTGGGGGTCGGATGGCGTCTGTCACCTTGGGGGGGCCTCTCCACACACATCACAACTGGGAAGGGGATGGCCTGCCATGAAATCAGGCGTGGGGACTCATAGCTGCACCGGGAAGTGATGCGAAGTCAGCGCAGGCTGTTGCAAAGTCAGGATGTGCCCTGCGTGGATGCGCCCCACCCTGTACCAGCAGCCCAAGAACGCTGTGGGAGCCCTGCTGTCCACGGAACGCCGCACCACCGCCCCCGAAGAGCACGCCCGTGCTGTGGCGCCACGGCCATCTCAACTCGATCCTGTGCTCCACCCTTCCCGCAGCCGGGCGAGAAACCCTGGAAGTTCTGGGAGGCCTGGTCGCTGTTCGGCTTCGACGCCTTCCCCCCCACCACCATCCACTGGCGCTTCGTGCCCAAGCAGGCGGGCAAGATCCTGGCCCTCTACTTTGTGGTGGCCTTTGGGTCCAGCATGGACGTTGCCGCCATCCAGGCCGACGTGGCGACGCCCCTGGACTACAACAAGGAGCTGGTCACCGTGGGTGAGACGGAGGCGGGGTCCTCATTGTCGGTCTGTTGGTGATGGTGGCAGGGGGGTGGTATCTTGTGCATGTCCTTGCCTTGCCAACCCAAGGCGCAGTGCTTCAGCACATCAGCCACCTTGACATTTGATAGGCTGAGCGTGTGGCTGACTCCTTGTGCCCTCTCCTCCCTCCCCCCCTGCAGGGATGAGCAACCTGGTGACGGGTATGGCGGGCGTCGGCTACACCGGCTCCTACATCTTCTCCCAGACCCTGTTCAACCTGAAAATGGGCGTGGACTCGCCCGTCATGGGCATCATTGTCGTCGGTGGGTTCTGTGGATGTGGGGTGCGGTAGAACGGTGTGAGATGGGAGCAAAGGCCAGGAAAGGCCGTTCCTGGCGCATCGTCGGGCCTGCCGATCATGCTCACACCTGCACTCCGACATCCCACCCCTCCACACACACAGTTTCGGAGGTCCTGCTCTTCATGGCCCCTGTGAATGTGATGATTTACCTGCCCAACCTCCTGTTTGGGGCCATGGTCATGTGGATAGGCCAGGACATCCTCAAGGCGGGTGTCGGGGAGGAGCGGGGGAGGGGGAGCTGGTGAGCATTGCACGCTTTTCTTTGCGTGCCTGCCAGGGCCACATGTAGAGTCGGTATCGGCACCCTCCATCTCCAATGACACCCCTCCATGCCAAGTTCATGCTCCTGAAGTCTCCTCCTCACATCTGCCAACTCATCTCTCTGGACCCTTCCTTATGTTGGACATCTTTGAACTCACCTGCCCTTATAGAATCTCCCTACTTCCCTCCTCAATGCACAGGACTGGCTGTTCATCGCCTACAAGCGTGTGTCGCACGTGGAGTATGCGCTCCTGCTGGCCACGTTTGGGGCCATCACGCTGTGGGGGCTGGAGCTGGGCATCGCCGCTGGCATCGCGGCTGCCGCCCTCCACTTCACCTACTCGTGCGTCGATGCTGGGGCGGGATGGAAGGAAAGGGAGGTTTGCGATGGCGGGTCTGCCGGAGAGACGCTCCTCTCCTGTAGCTTCTTTGGGCCCACACCAGTTCTGTGGGCCCCAACCCACTTGTCTGCGCTGCCGTCGCACGCTCCTCCCGCTCGCCGATCGCCCGGCAACAAATCATCTCCAATCCATCCCGCGCCCCCTTTCCTCCTTCATCCGCCCTTCCAGCCGACATCAACCCCCCACACACATGCAGGTATGCGCGGGTGACGCTGCGCACCTTCAGCGTGGTGCCGTCGCGGTCGGGCGCGGTGCGCACCTGGGACCATCGCCGGGTACTGGAGCACTTTGTGCCGCGTGTTCGCGCCTGCAGCCTGCAGGGCTACCTCTTCTTCGGCTCCTCCGTCCTGGTGTCCGCCAAGGTCCTGGCCGTGGCACAGGACCTGGTGGCCAGCCTGGGCCAGCTGGCAAGGCAGGAGAGCCGTGGCCGGCCGCGCACGCAGCGCGAGAGCGAGAAGCTGCAGGGCGCCCTGATTCGGGCGCCCCTCTTCCTCATACTGGACTTCAAGTGGGTCTGGTGGGGGGTTGGTTGGCGTGAGTGGTGGTGAAAGCATTGGATGGGAGGCTGTCTTAGAAGGCCTGGGACGTCCCAACAGCAAGCTCATGGCCCTGACCTCGTTCGAACGACCCAGGGATTGTAAACAAGACTGGCCTAAGATTGCAGTGCTCTGCTCTTGTCATCCAGCCTGCCCTCCAAAAAGCATCCAGCCTCCCTGCCCCTAACCCACCCCCACCACCCCGAGTCTCGCTCCAAACAATCACCCCCTCCCAACACAGGCGGGTGCAGGGCATGGACGCCACCGCGGCACGGACCTTTGTCTCGCTGCATGTCCGATTGCAGCGGCTCGGCGTCCAGCTGGTCATCACCCACCTGCCCGACGAGGTGCCCGCCCTGCGCAAGCTGCTGGCCTCCCAGGGCCTGATCCTGCGGACGCCCTCGGGGCAGGAGGAGGGGCACGTGGCGGGATCGGAGATCGAGGCGGCAGGTGAGGAGTGTGGGTGGAGGGCAGCGGCTGGCCTAGGGTGGGTAGAGAAGAGAGGGGCCAACCCAGATCGAGCTAAGGGGTGCCTGAAGTTCGGGTTTCAGGCCTGAGCTGATGGACCACCACCGCCCTTTGCAGTCAATCTCCCACTGGCACCACGGCCTCATACCAGAGCGCCCACCCCCCCTTCCCCAACGCACACCAAAACAGGCACGTGCCAGTGGTTTGAGACCATGGAGGCGGGCCTGCACTTCTGCGAGGAGCAGTTCCTGGACGTGGCCATTGAGTCCGGGCTCTGCTCGCCGCGGCGCTCGGATGTGACCCTGGCCGAGGCGCTGCTGGCACACCGCTCCCTGTCGGACGCGCAGGCCGAGCCCGGGGGGCCCGCGAGGTTTGAGGCCGCCGCCGCGCTGTTGGGCCGATACGTGCGCCAGAGGAAGCTGCGGTGCGCTGCACGAGTATTGGATGGGG